CACTTTCCATTTTCCCGCTGGCCTGTTTATCGGCCAGTCAGTCCGTCAGTCGGTCTGGCCGTCTGTCTGGTTATCTATCTGTTTGCTCATTCATAAATAATGCAATGTGAAAATACAGTGGGCTATAATCATATAAATAAGAGCCCTTGACAGCCGCACACCCCGTCACAGCAGAGCGCAGTCAGAGTCAGTGCCGGTCTCTGGGCACATTTCTAGCTGAATCAAATGTCCACAGTTACTTAGCCAACGGGTATGTCTCTCTCTCTCTCTCTCTCTCTCTCTCTCTCTCACTCTAGTAGTTCCTGTTCCCTCTCCCTCTCTACCTCTCGTTCTGTTTTTTCCGCTGTTGATTCTTCGATGCTTTTGCATTTGGTATTAGCTTCAAGTGGCCGGAAGCTAGTTTATGTGGCCTACGTCCTCGGCCTGGCTATGAAATACGCAACAGCAATAGCAATGCCAGCGAATGCATGCACCGCAATAAACCGCCTCCTGCCCCTGCCTCTGCCTCGGCACAGCAACAATTGAATCGTAATGCGCCTCCTGCCGCTGCTGTTTCTGCTGCTGGCTGACGTTGCGTATACGCAACAGCTGTCATACTAAACGCCACCCATAGAAATGAAGTCGCTCGTATTTACGGCTCATTTTTCTGGTTCTTAGCGAACGGAATTTTAAATCACTCGAGCGCAATGCCAAATGCCTAATGCCATCTGCCAGCTGCCAGCTGCCAATTGCCAATTGCAATGCGGGTATCGACGGGCTGGAGACGACAGGGAACAGAGCACGGTGAACGGAGGACGGGGCAGGGGCGAGAGTCGAGCATCGACAATCGAGAGCCCAGCAGGCTGTGGCAAGAGGCTTACGCAAAAGCCAACAGCTGACAGAGCAGACAACGAGCCGTAGCTACTGCACTCATCAATGCAACAATGCCGTGAACCTGGGGATAGGCTGCTATTAGTGGCGTTCCAATGAGCAGAACGTAGGCCAGGACATATGCAAAAGGTCACTGCCGCACATATATACAAAATCTGACAAACAAAAATGGTAGCTTGCCTGTACTTATATGCTCAAGCTAAGCCTAAGACAATAATGAGCATGAGAAGGAGCAAATTTATAGTATATATGAAATCTGAAGTCTCGCGTACAATACAATGTACCTGCCTTGTCTTCCTCTCTTTCTGTTTGATATCAATATTTATATATGATATAAATTCAGTATTTCCAGTAAAATCTAAGGAACTTCATTATTCACAGTATCTAGTATCAATCTAAGCATCAAATACGATCTTCCTGCCGTCTACGCTCCCTTTCTTTCTCTTTTTCTCAGATATCGATATATGTCGACTATAGAACGATGCAGTATTTTATGAAAAATTTGAAGATAAGGTATGATATTTAGATAAAATATATATACAATATTTCGCAAACTATATATCTTTCTCTCTCTCTCTCTCTCTTTGTTTCTATCTCTCACTGATATCGATATATATCGACTATAAAACAATGCAGTATTTTTAGCATGCCTAAATTTGATATGAGGACATATAATAACATTTTAATAACATTCTCTCTCTCTCTCTCTCTCTCACCCTCTTTCTCTCTCCCCCTCTCACACACAATATTTCCATCTCTCCTCTTATGTCAATATTTATAAATCTATGTAATATTTCAAGTAAGATCTGAGTCACATTACTTTGCCTGTTACATACACGATTACAAGCTGGACATGCCCAATTACAGCTAATGGCTACAGGGCAGACGACCAAATATGGCTCGAACATGTTAGCCAAAAGTAAGCGCATGCGGCTAAACTAGAGCTGAGTCAAGCAGAATCCGCTCGGAGCGTGGCCACAGCAATCCTAGTCGAGTCGAGGGATGGAGAACAGAGACGTGGTGGGCACACACACACCCACAGCACACACACACACACACACGCAGAGAAACACCTTTACCGTTACCTAAGTGACAATCTGATATTGTAGCATACTTTTGTGGGCACAAACTCGCCATTAATACACTCGCCACACACACACACGCACACATACACATGCTCTATTAGTGTGATTAAAGCCGTTTGTGTGTGAGAGAGAAAGAGAAAGTATTTGCTGACATTGTCTACGTAACCTTCGTGGGCTTTGCGTAAGCAAAAAGGGGCTGCCAGCTCGTTGAAAGTAGCTGCGGGCACACGTGCACATGTGTTTGTCTTTGTGTCTGCGTGTGTGTGTGTGTGTGTGTGTGTGTGCTCTAAAAAAGTAAAGCCCATAAAATGTATAAACACAATTTTCACTCGACCTGAGCCTTTTGCCAGGCTCCTCTACCATTTCCACTTAAGCCTTAAGCTACTCGCCAACCTTCTGCCCGCTGTCGCACAACTATTTCCTTTTTGGCCTCTGTTGCTGCTATTGCTGCTGCTGCTTCTTCGGCTTCTTTCCTTTTGAATTTTCTCGAGTGGCTACACTCCAGAGATTGCACATTCTATGCTAGCTTTACTTATTTCGTTCATCTTATTTATTATATACATATCTATTTTTTTCTTTTTTCATTTTTCGCCAAGGCCCAACGTCATTTGCATTCGCTGATTCTTTGTGTCCGCTCGGGCCCTACACCCAGCTCGTGGGCATCTGGCCGAGAACGGCTTCTCAACTGTTTTCTCAGCGGGCCATTCGCTTTGTCAGCCAAAATTCGGTGCGTGGGCAGGCAACAGCAGCAGTAATAGCTAAAGCAACGACAATAGCAACGTCCGTCGCTGTTTGGCTTGTCCGCCTGCCCACGCGGCGTATGCGTAATATTCGTTTGGTGTTTATTAAAAGCTTAAGACTCAATCAGCACTTTGCTTGGCGCACACCACACTCAGCTCAACAGGGCCCCCTCGACCCTTCGACCCCTCGACCCTTTCGCCCTGCCCAGCCCGGTGAACAAAAGCCATGTGTACATTGCACCGCAGCCCCAATACTCTCCATTGGTATTCTCTGATTATTTGCTCAGGATTGTCAGCTGGAGGGCTGCAAAAGAGTTAAGTTGTGATTGTAAACAGCTTAAATATGATTTCGAATTCAATATTTCTCTCTCAATATTTCTCTTAAGAGTTGCTTTGCGGCATGCTGGCTGAACATCCATCGGATTTCAGTTCAATTGTTATACTGTTTTACAACGTGTGCACAGATTAGTTCTTACATATCTCGCCAACGTCTGGCCACTGCATACTTCAGCACAAGCATTAATAGTTTTCCATTTTCTCTCATACTACTCTGTAGCATTCTACTGCAATATGTACTTAGGCAATCGAAGTGTGGTCGACGACTAAAGCTCTTACTTTATGGTATACAAGTATTTAATGCTGTGCTCGTTTCAGCAACTGCTTAAAACTCTGCATGTTGTCCTGTCTAAGCCACTTATTTCATTGTTATACAGAGCTCATGGCTCATCACTGTCGGTATACAAAGCTGGTGTACACATTTGTTTTAACAAAGTTTTATACAAATATGCTACAAAGAGCTAGTATACAAATGTGTTATACAAAAGTGTTATACAAAATTGATCTGTTATACAAAACTGTTATACAAAATTCTTATACAAAATTGATATACAAGACTTACACAAAAAAGTGTTATATAAAATTAAAATGTATAGAAAACTTTTATACAAAATTGCTATACAAGACTGATACATGAAAGTGTTATCTAAAATGAATATGCTATACAAAACTATTCTATAAAACTGTTATACAAAACGGTTATACAAAACTGTTCTACAAAATTGTTCTACAAAACTTCTATTAAATTGTTATGCAAAATTGTTATACAAAAGTGCTACACAAAACTGTTATATAGAGCTATTACAGAACAATATTCAACTGGCAACTATTATATTCCACAGCAGCTCAATTAATAGACCCAAACAGCATGCATCTGCCCTTGTACCCAGTGAATGGGTGTGTTGAGCGTACGTGTTTATAATATTAATAGGACGCTTCGCACATGGCTGTATCAGAATCACTGATGATTTATTTTGGTGGCTGTGTGTGAGTGTCTGTGTGTGCTTACATTAATTTTGATTGCCAAAGCAATTGTCGCAATGGTGACCGCCCACTGAGCGCTAGGCATGTGGCATTGTGTTATTGGCAATTATCAGATATCAGGCGAGAATCTAAGCAATTGGCTTACATGCATTTGCCATTAGACTGAGGCAGTGAGGGGAAAGTATAAATTAAAACTGTTTAGAGTGCTGGTGCAGACTTTTGAGAGTTGGTAAATTGAAACAAGCTTTTGCTGCTGCCCATGTTGTCCCTTTAGCTTACATACAAGTTAGCTAATGATTGCCGTAAAGTCCATCTAATTGGCTGCCGCAAAGGTAGCAGTAAGCTCTAAGCCAATTGGTTGCTACAAAAACAGCAAACTTTAAAAGCGAACGGCCGGAAGTTATAAGCCGTTCCCTCGTTACCATCTGATTGACTGTCGCAGCTCTGTCGGACAGTGCGCCCACAAATGGAGCAGTCCAGAGTTCCTCAAAGCAGTGGGCATGAATAGAGAGTTGGTCTCTTTGGACGTGGCTAAGTGCCCAACTGCGATATGTGGCATGTGCCAACAGCTGGCAGAAAGCCAAACGAGTTATTGAAACAACTTGTGTGGAAATGCAACAGTTAGCTCAACGTTGGGTAAGGGCAACATGTGCCAGGTAGCTGCAGCTTGTATCTCGAGAAGGGGAGCGGGAGATAGCAGACAGCCAGAATGATCAAGAAATTGTAATGCAAACAAAATGTTTATTAATCGAACGATGACAAGAAAGTCGTGAAGTCTAGGAGGGAAGTCAGCCAGATATTATTTTAGAGAACAAGCGCGATTTCTTATGATAGAAAATCAAAGAATATGCAACATATATACGACAAGGTATTCCCTGGTCAAAGATTCGATTCGAAATTCGCAGCGATATTTTCTATACATTCAGGACTTGGGTCTTAGCTTAGATGTAGTGTTGCGCCTTATCGTTATCGGTTATCGACTTACCCGCACTTTGCGCACCGTCTTGCGGCTATCGTTGCGTATGTTGACCGTGACATTGACGTCCTCGCCGTGCGTATACCAGCCCTTGTCCAGGCTGGCCCTCAGGCCGACGCGGCCGTCGTGCAGCAGAAACGGTTTATCGACGGCGCCCTGGGGTCCGCCGCAAGGTCCCACGCTGATGCCGCCAATGCCGCCGGTGACGCCGGCATTGCTATGGGGTGGCAGCATTTCGGAGCCAGTGTTGTCGCAGTGCTGCCAAGGAATCAATCAGACCGAGTTTTAAATTGACTCAAAATTCGTGTGTGTTAGGTTAAGTTATGCATAATTAATTTGCCAAGCACATCAGGAATCTGATTCGCCTGGGCGTGCGGCGTGCGGCGTGCGGTTAGCCATAAGCTCGATTTGCGACTGCCTAATTACAATTCAACTGGTTAGCTATTAATTAATGTCCTGCCCAGTTAAACCATTTCGGGAGTGGGGCTGGGGGCTCGGCGCGATGGCTGGTCAATGGGGAAAGTGAAACAGTTGACCGTATCTGTATTATTGAAGCGGTTGCCTTTCGATTAACTCTGCACACAAATTAATTGCGCGACTCAGTGCGAAGCAGTGCTCGCCATTTGAGCTCGCAAATAATAATTATATCCAAATTAATTGACCTCTCCGCAAGCCGATTAGTGCACTTCTGGCGCCTTTGCAAGTACATTACTTTTCGCCAGCGATTCGCTGTGTGGCACACAGGACGCATTTGCATTTGCACCTGTGTGGCTAATCAATTGGCAGGTGCCACGTAGAGCACTCGGTTTATTGAAGTCATTAAGTCTGCGGTCAGCACTGCAAAGGCTTAGAGAGTACATGTAATTGCAAGCTCTGTTAATTATGTATTAAATAGGCATGAGCTGAGCCGTCGTAGAACTTGTTCACGTCTCATTGAGTAAGAAGGGGGGAGGGTGTTACACATGCGACAGACCCCCACATGTTCAGAGTCGGCAATCTGTTTAAAGTGAATCGACACATGAACAATCTGTTTGATTTTATTTAAACGATTTTTTTTTTTTTTTTACAAAAATCCACATAGGAGGGACCAGCCTGAAATTCCATCAGTGAGTTCGGGAATCAGAATATTGATGAACCCAATTACGTGTATTAATTTATTTACGAAATCTATATGCCGTTGCCAAATACACAAGGTGAGTGGGTAATTCGATATGAGTCACCCCTCCCTCCCATTATCGACAAACTTGCTACGCCCCTGCATAGCATTTATAGCTCTCTCTCCCTCTGTGGGGTAGGTCAACAACATTTCGTCTGCAAAGCGTTGCCTTGATTTGACTCCAGCTAGAGGACTTTTCAGCAGTATAATTCTTAGACTTTAAAGAGCTTATGTTTCGTAACGACATGACAGACTCAAAAGAAATGCTAATACCTTTGCAGGAAACTGGACACTGTATAAGACTAATATGCTCTGTTTTACTAACTGAGCGAGTATAAAGCAATTATTGGCAATGCTGCTGATGTTATGAAAAGAAGTTAGTTGAAATTTAAATTTGATTATTATGTTAGATTCGTCGGGAGCCTTTATTCATTCCATATAGTATATATTACGGTCATTTCACTTACCTCCTGGAAGGACTTGCTGTAGCAATGGAATGGGTCGTTGGGGCACCGTTCGATTTCGCTTTTGCTGCGGCCAAAGCGTCCGCTGAACCTGAATGCCTTGGGCGAGAGTCGAAGCTTGGGAAATGAATCACCGCGCTCCGACTTGGACTTGGCGCCCTTGGCACCCGGACCCGCAGCAGTACCCGCACCCGCACCCGCACCAGTACCAGTACCGGTACCGGTACCTCCTCCTCCAGCGGCTCCTCCTCCTCCTCCGCCTGCACTGCTGGTGCTGGGTGTTGGCTCGTGCCCGTCGCTGTTACTCAATGGGGGCGTGGCGCTGGCCGGCGGCGATTGGGTCGATGCGTTGGAGTTCTGGCCGGCAAAGGCAGCGAAGTTCTCCGGAGCGGTATGCTGGTGAAAGACGTCGGTGCGATAGATGACCCGCACGCCCATCTTGACGGAGGCCCGCCGATGGAACTTTTCGTCCGTCTTGTCCGCTGGAACAGAGAGCAGGAGTGGGGAACGGGACCGGAGGACCCAATTAGCTGGATGATGCACAAAGCGTGAGAGCGCGAGAGACAGTGAGTGAGAGAGAGAGAGAGAGAGTGATAGCGCTGCTGTCATTGCTCGCTAAGCTCACAAGAAGCGCAGCTGCAATCGGTTATCTTTAATCGTTAATCGTTAATCGATAATTGGTAATTGTGAATTTTAATGCAATTTTGTGGTTGTCTCGTCGTCCGTCTCGGTCCAAGAGCGAATCAAATGCCAAATGGGGGTTGAACGCGCGCACTGCCAATGCAGCCAACGCTGCCAATGCTAGCTGTGAGCTTCTGATGCAGGCGGTTGGCCGCTCCAAACCTTTTTCTTATGTTGCAACTGTCAAGCTCTATTTGAACGTGCTGTGGAGGCCAGCTGAGTTAGCCTAGCCTAACAGCACGCTTGGGTCCGAAAGTGTTGTCGAATAGCAGAGTGCTGCCTATTTTGGGCCATCGAGTGCTGCCAAATACAATTTAGCCATCAATTTTGACAATGCCATCAATTGAATGAGGCAATCTGACATGAACTTTGACAGGAACATAAGAAAATGGGACTCAAGCGGCACACAACAAACATTTACAGTTTAACACAATGAATTGGGATAGATGTAGTAAGACAGTGAAAGCGATACATAAACAGAGAAATACAGATAGTGAGATAGAGATAAAGAGATAAAGATAGAGATGGAGATAGAGATAGAGATAGAGATAGAGATAGAGATAGAGATAGAGATAGAGATAGAGATAGAGATAGAGATAGAGATAGAGATAGAGATAGAGATAGAGATAGAGATAGAGATAGAGATAGAGATAGAGATAGAGATAGAGATAGAGATAGAGATAGAGATAGAGATAGAGATAGAGATAGAGATAGAGATAGAGATAGAGATAGAGATAGAGATAGAGATAGAGATAGAGATAGAGATAGAGATAGAGATAGAGATAGAGATAGAGATAGAGATAGAGATAGAGATAGAGATAGAGATAGAGATAGAGATAGAGATAGAGATAGAGATAGAGATAGAGATAGAGATAGAGATAGAGATAGAGATAGAGATAGAGATAGAGATAGAGATAGAGATAGAGATAGAGATAGAGATAGAGATAGAGATAGAGATAGAGATAGAGATAGAGATAGAGATAGAGATAGAGATAGAGATAGAGATAGAGATAGAGATAGAGATAGAGATAGAGATAGAGATAGAGATAGAGATAGAGATAGAGATAGAGATAGAGATAGAGATAGAGATAGAGATAGAGATAGAGATAGATATAGATATAGATAGAGATAGAGATAGAGATAGAGATAGAGATAGAGATAGAGATAGAGATAGAGATAGAGATAGAGATAGAGATAGAGATAGAGATAGAGATAGAGATAGAGATAGAGATAGAGATAGAGATAGAGATAGAGATAGAGATAGAGATAGAGATAGAGATAGAGATAGAGATAGAGATAGAGATAGAGATAGAGATAGAGATAGAGATAGAGATAGAGATAGAGATAGAGATAGAGATAGAGATAGAGATAGAGATAGAGATAGAGATAGAGATAGAGATAGAGATAGAGATAGAGATAGAGATAGAGATAGAGATAGAGATAGAGATAGAGATAGAGATAGAGATAGAGATAGAGATAGAGATAGAGATAGAGATAGAGATAGAGATAGAGATAGAGATAGAGATAGAGATAGAGATAGAGATAGAGATAGAGATAGAGATAGAGATAGAGATAGAGATAGAGATAGAGATAGAGATAGAGATAGAGATAGAGATAGAGATAGAGATAGAGATAGAGATAGAGATAGAGATAGAGATAGAGATAGAGATAGAGATAGAGATAGAGATAGAGATAGAGATAGAGATAGAGATAGAGATAGAGATATAGATAGAGATAGAGATAGAGATATAGAGATAGAGATAGAGATAGAGATAGAGATAGAGATAGAGATAGAGATAGAGATAGAGATAGAGATAGAGATAGAGATAGAGATAGAGATAGAGATAGAGATAGAGATAGAGATAGAGATAGAGATAGAGATAGAGATAGAGATAGAGATAGAGATAGAGATAGAGATAGAGATAGAGATAGAGATAGAGATAGAGATAGAGATAGATATATATATAGATATAGAAATAGAGATAGAGATAGAGATAGAGATAGAGATAGAGATAGAGATAGAGATAGAGATAGAGATAGAGATAGAGATAGAGATAGAGATAGAGATAGAGATAGAGATAGAAATAGAGATAGAGATAGAGATAGAGATAGAGATAGAGATAGAGATAGAGATAGAGATATGAATGAATGAAAATGTGATATATGATAGATTAAAGACATGAAGCGACAACAATGAAAAGACATCAAGTCGGACTGACCATTAAGCTTATATCTATTTATATAAATTTATAAAAATACTCGCATACATACACACACGCACACACACACATTCACATTCACATTCACACACGTACACAAACAGAGACAGCAAGACAGCAACTGAACTGAAGGTGAACTGAAACGAAGTGGAGTCACATCAATACGTTGATACTAAAATAGGAAAAACACAGAGGACAATACAAGTTATTACACGACAATTGAATTGAATGTTTTTGGCCAGGCATCAGAGGACACTGTGGCAATGGGACGAATCGTGCCGCTTACCTCGAACCGGGCTGCACAGACAGCAGCAGCGAAGGCTGCGCCACATGCGTGCCGTGAATCTGGTCAGAGCATTGGTTCTCTGAATGTGTCTCTGCCTCTGCCTGTGCCGCCGCATCTGGCTCAGCGTCATGCCCTGTGCTGTGGGGGGATCGCCTCAGAGAGGCTTACGGCGCTTGCGAACTGGGTGCGATAAGTGCGTAAAGTGCGATAAGCATAAGCAAAGACATTCACATTCAAACAGCGCCGCACAGTAAATCAGAAAACGAAATCAATCAACGATCGCAAATCACAAATCAAAACTCAAAAATTAACAGTCGTATATCGAGAAACGAAAATGGAAAATCGTCAATCGTCAATCGTTAATCGTTAATCGTTAATCGTCAATCGTTAATCGTAAATCGTAAATCGTAAATCGTTATTGGTTAATCATGATACAACACAACATACAACACAAGAAAACCTTTAATTTGTTTAAGTTTTGTTTTATTTTAGTGTTAGACTTTTGATAAGCATATCTATGTCCATATGAGTCAGGGACGCTTCATAGACTTCAGTAATTCAGTAATCAAATTGCACACTGAAAAAAAAGCATGGTTAACTTTGATGGCGATTCACTTCTTCTTCAATTCAAGCTGCAAAACTGCTGTTACAAGAGAATATAAAACGAGCACGAGAAAAAAAGCTATCGGGTGTAAGAAATGAAAAGAGAAAAGAGAGTACAAAGCAACAAAGGAAACAGCTGTTGGAGATGATGGAGAAGGACATTTTCCAAGCTCTCATAGATTGAAATGAAGATGACAAATTTTATGGCCAAATCAGCAACAAGCTATGTGCCGTTCTTTTTTTTTTCAACTAAACGGATTTTTAATTTCGTTTTATAAAATAAAAAATAAATACAAATGTATTAAATGAAAAATGAATTTAGGTTAGCTTTGGCTCAAAATCAGAAACATTCAAAACAATGTGTTGTGACTCAGTTATTGGGGAAACAAGAGGCTATGGCATGAGTCTGAATATAATGTGACGCAATGCTTCATTATCCGCTTCCCTTTGATAATTAAGCATTGGTAAAGGCTTGCACAGAGCCAAGATCGTGGACGTTGGCCTGTTTCACGCAGAGCCGATGCGAGGGCGCGAGGATGGCGTGGAGGAAGAGGGAGATGCAAGGTGTCTAGTTGCATTTGAGGGACGGCTCGAGACCGCGTTTGAGGCCAGCTCAAAGCGATTCGCAACAAAATGGTTGATTTTACCGTTTCAACTGGGCTCAAGACGGTCTCAGAACCGGTTCGCATTGCGTTCAACACTGCATTCAAAAAATAAAAATAAAAGAAAAATATGTGGCTGGGCTGGAAGGAAAAACAAAAAACAATATTCCTTGGGTAGATGATCCATAATGAGGACAGTCCTTCTACTTGGCGCACATAATTAAAGCAAAACAATGGAGCGAACAGCGATTTATGTGGGCTACTAGGCTGGCCCGACCTGAGCTCACCTTTGTGCCACTTTTTGTTAACGCTGACAACCGCTAGAGGGCGCTCCGGCTAGCTGACTAGCAGCTGGTCCGTTTTCCAGCGGAGGCGGCCCCAGGCGGCCGTTAAGCGCACTTCTTTTCAGACTTGAGCACACGCACATAGGATGTACGGCGCATCGGGCGACTGCTCGAAGGGGGGAGGGGAGCTGTTATTAAACAGAATATGCCATGTCCTTTGTTATTCCAAATGATATTAACTGTTAACAGGCAACATAGTGTTTGCACATACATAAGTACATGTATTGTATGTATATAGATATACATATATACACATGTATGCATATATATATATATATATATATATATATACATATACCTTCAAAATCATACTGCTAAGTCCTGATTGTATTGTGCAGAGTAAAACAAAAAGTTGTTAAAAAGCTTGCAGTTCTCTCATTAGCTCTCATTGCCAATCGCTAAGCCCCTACCGAGCGAGCTCTATGAGCTGGCGGTTAGGTTTGTCCCTCGGGCAATTCTTGGCTGTAGTACGCAGGTATTCATTTCAATTCGGCTGCCGAAAGACAAACGAAAGGGGCGACGGGGATGCGCGCAGGCATCCAAGGATCTATGGCCCCGGCGGCAATTGAATAAAGAAAACCAACAACAACAAAAACAAGAGAAGGAAAAAAGAAATGGCAAAATGAAAAGAACTCAAAGGAAATGGAAAAAAGGCAGACGGAAGGCATCGGGAGCATCAGAAATCGCAAAACGGAATTGAAATCCGAATGGCTCGAGTGGTCGAGGGTAAAACAGCCGCGCAATGCTTAACAGGCATGCATTTACATTAGATATTGATTCCATTCGCATACCCTGTAAATGCGCATTCAGCCAAAGGCGTATGCAATTACTCATTGACTACTTGCGCTTCCCTCCCTTTGTAGGAAGGGTATCGGCTGGCTGGTCAGACCCGATCAAGAGCAGCTAACACAGTGCAGAAAGCAAACTGAACGGCAAACCCAAAATGAAATTTAATCAAAATCAATCAAAAATGAAAATACAAATGGAGAGAGACAGAGAGAGCGAGAGAGTGAGAGAGAGAGAGAGAGAAGAGAACAATTCTCTCACATGAGCCTTGCTGACGTCAACAGCAGCAGCAGGTGCAGCAAGCGTAGTGCAAAGTATTGGGATCTGTTTTTCTCGTTTTTTTTTGTTTTACAAGGAAAAAACGGCTTTGGTGGGGGCGTGGTCATCAATATAAATAGGCTGTAAGTGTAATTTGATTGAGCGTGCCTCGCATAAGTCGTTTCTTGTGCGCGAGAGAGCGACTCGCTGCCCGAGATACTCACGATTCGATTCGAATGGCGCTGGCAATGGCTTGATGATGTATGATGGATGGAGGAAAGGTAATGTTTGCTGGTTAATTATAGCTAAGCTTAATTTATTGTCAAACCTGGAAATGTGTGTGTGTGTTTGCATTGAAGTAAGCTGTGTGCTATATGGATCTTAAGCTGAGCAGCAAAAAAAAGGTAAACTATAACTAAAAAATAAACTCTAAAGCTTTCCCAGGGCATTTCCATATTCTTGCAGTGAAGCATTTCACTTGCATCTCCTACAGATTGATGATATATGGTCAATTTTCTTTAAAATCTTGTTGACTTGCGAGTCCATATTTTACTTACCTTTCGGATAGTTCTAGCTGTGATGGAAAAAAACTTTTTTGTTTATTTGAGAAAGCTGCTAAAATTCTATCGCCTTTGCTAAGCAAAAGTTTTAGTAGATCTCTTTCATGACTGTCGCAATGACTCTAGCTGAAAGTGATGGAAAAAGCTCGAGTCAAAGCTTCAATAGACAAATTGCACAGGCTGTAGCGCCTAGAGCTCTTAGTGGGTTGAGTTAGTGCTATTCGGAAGTTGACTTAGCTCCTACTATGTTCCCCCATTGATTCACAATACTTGTTGACTCTTCGCCTGATGACGTTGCTCTACCTCGATGACATACATCACCTGCGCAGCTCCGGTTCCGGTGTCCTCGGAGCAAATGGCTATATGTACAGGAGTCCATATAGACAGATATAGCTAAAGACTTACCAATGAAGCAGCGTACGTCGTAGCTGGTGCCAATGGGGGCTCCGTAGTAGCGTTTGGCTGGCACTAGCTGGACACTGGGTGGTGCCTGGGCGGTCAGCGATAAGGTGAACGGATGAGCCCCATCGCCCAGTCGCTTCAGTAGGGCCTCCTGCAACGAGAGAGCAATTGCGTCAGGCCACAATTAGCTGCATTGTCGAATTTCGAAAATGAGCACTTTAATTGATTTTCTAGGAAAATCGAATAGGTTGATTGGCCAGCGTGAGGGAGCGAGCAACAGAGGCCGTTTAGGTCAAGGCAAGATAAGAAAGGGAAGCCGATTTCTTTGCCAAATCCTGGCCATCAAGGTGAGACAGGACAGGTCTGACCTTCGCTATTATTCAGGTCAGGGCAATAGAAAACGACAGATAGACTTACTTAAATGCTTGTCTAGGGATGTCAGGGCTTAGCCGACGGAGTCAGACAGACTTCCTTATCGCATTCTTAGAGAGCAAACGCAAGGCTAAGCCACAGGAGAGAGACTGAATTCATAAGAGAGAGAGAGAGAGGGAGGACCTTAGACCTCATTGCTTAGGTACTAGCGGAATATATACGAGTGTGTGTGTTTATTATTGAAGGTTATATTTAGTTTTTAATTATGCACTTCGACGCTTTGATTGGAGGAGCGGGCAATTTGAATTGCGGGCTTTGTTTTGGCTTTGATAACAATGCTTTTTGTTAAATCTTCGGCTGTTTTTGGCATTTCATTTGCATTTGATTATGTATACGGTATAATGCGATGCCTCTGGCCCTGACTCTGCCCCTGTGGCATTGGTCCTGGCCATGATGATACTGACGCTGCTGGTGCCCTTGGATTTATTCCTAAATATCTTATCCTCGGCGCGTGTTTCCCCGTATCGTGTGGACTAATAGGCAACAGCCACAGCGACAGCCACAGGGCCAGTCCAGCCACTACTCCTCCCCGCTTTCCCATTGACTTTGCCTCAAACTCTGCACGGCATTTTAATGGAAAGTATTTAAAGACAATTCCCTAGCACAAATTGTTTGGCTCAGCAAGCGTTTTGTTCTTCTTTCAGCGCCATTTGTGGTTGAAAAGGGGCGAACAACAGATGACACAGAGAGAGAGAGAGAGAGAGAGAGAGAGAGAGAGAGAGAGAGAGAGAGAGAGAGAGAGAGAGAGAGAGAGAGAAGTGAGAGCCAATAGAGACGAGCGGAGGAGTTGGACAGGAGGCTGTTGCTGCAGAACGTGAAAGGAGCACCAAGCATGTCTTCTTAAGCCTCAATTGTCAGACAAATTCCCTTTGGGTTGCTCTTGGCTTATCATTGAGACAACAAATTTAACTGTCGCGCTAATAAGTTGGATGTTCTCAGCCAAATATATTGATATTTCCAAGTAAATCCCCGTTTAGACAATGCAAATCAAGTGAACCATTGCTGCAAAAAAGTGTTTTTCCTATAGAATTGCGATATTAACGATAGGTTGGCTGAGCTGGGAGAATTATTGGGACAAGAATTGTCGCTGTCATATTATTAATGAGTGGATTTTCGATTTTTTCGATACCATCTATTAATAGATTCATAAATCGAAAACTTATAATACAGTTCGATATATTTTAGAGATTTTTTAGAGATGAATAATTTAGAAATCTATTCATAAACAGCCTAAGCTAAGCTGTTTGTTATCACATTTTCAAATCCCCTATAGCATATCGTGCTGCCAGTGCTGTCATTTAAGCTGTTTTCCCGTCAGATCTGGCTTTATTTGAAGTCCCATTGCGGGAAAAATTCGAAAACGGCGGCCTGTGGGAATTCTGGCTTAAAAAAGCACGGTGCTGCATTAACAGCTCCCAAGTTATCGATTTATTGAACTATCGATATTCAGTATATTCTGTCTAGTATCTGTTCAGCTAGCTTTCTGTTAGTTACTTATCGAAACCGATAGAGCAATAACTATAGTATATATCTTATATACATTAGGCTTACTTATATTTTATAAACATTTCTTTTATATAAGGCTCTCTCTTTTCCTCCCCAATTTAACTCATATTTTTGTATACATCTTTTAATATCCTTAGGTTTGGTCTATTGCCTAAACTGCACCGAATCTTCTTTGAATGAAAGTCCTATACAACTGTCTGTCATTTAGGCATTAGGTACTTCTTATTGTCTTTTATCCTATTTGACTCAAAATCCTTGAGAGCTGCTTGTCGACTAAGCTGCAGCATCGTCTAACAATCTGTTTACCTTCCTTGACACAGAGTACTTTCACGGTATCTATTGCAACACGTGTATCTTCTTTTTATAGTGCTTTTATATTCTTTGATTTGCATTATTTACTTATGTTCTTTGATTTGATAGTTTTCCAACACTGCAAAGTCCCCTACTGTGCCTGCAATGGACAGCAGCACTGACGCATCCATTATAATCTCATCAGATCTGTCATCGATTGTCAGCTTAGCTCAGCCATATTTAGATCAATTTATCAACATATTTGCCATGAATTCATTAGGAAAATTTCTCTTTCATCTGGCTGTCGGCGGACGCACACAATATTATTCAATTCAATATCTTCGGCATTTCGCTTTGCGTCCGGCCCTCTGAGCCGTGTTATTTGCGAAATACTTTGCCGCTGCCATCAGCAACTTATTAAAGTCAAATTTATTTAATTATGCATGTTTGTGTTTCAGTTTTAAGCGCTCAGCAGTGGCGGAGGTGGTCGTGGAGGCGGTGGTGGAGGCAAAAGCGGAGGCAGTGGCTATGGCAGTAGCTCTGGCTGTGGTTGAGGTTGAGGCTGTGCCAGTGGCAGCCAACAGTAAATAAGTTACTAAATATATTATGCAAATCGGTCAAGACAAGCGAGAAAAATGAAAGTTGGCAGCCAAGGACTGCAAACGGAGAGTTCCGAACTGTAAACTGATTGCCTAACCGAATTTTGGTGAGTTTGGCTGTCAAAAATATGATGGCTAAATAAATGATTGCCATGCCATGTCAAGTTTAATAAAAGGGAAAGTTCAAATTGAAGCTTCTTTCTGGGCTACCACTCTCGCTCTCACGCCCACTCTCAATCTCAATCTCACTCTCACTCTCCCCCTCTCTCTCTATCTGCCTATCTCCTGTACAAAACAGTATGCTAGCGAAAAACAATACAAAAGGGAATCGCAAACATTTGTACAGCTTTTAGTTAAATGAAATTGATTTTCAATTGGTTTAAGTGCAGTAAATTGCCGTCTTTAAATCTATGACGAGCGAGCGGCAGGGGTCGAGCAGGAGAACAGCGTCAGGAGCTCACGTAAAATGTCAACAAAATAGCTACAACAACAATATACAGTTATTCGCCTGCCCTCGTCCTCTATCCCCCATTCCGCCAACTCTCACTCACTCACTCTCTCGCTCTCTCTCTCTCTCTGTCTTTCTCTTTCTCTCTGCGTCTTATCTAACCGGAAGGAGTATAGCATACTTTGTAGCGCTCGCTTTAAATCTGAGCTAAGCAGGGAACAAAACACCAGAGCTCCATCAATTTCGAAGCGTTTGCAATTATTTCAAAATGCAGCCACAGTGAATACATAACGAGCGCTGCTGTGTGCACAAATGCATGACTAGCACATACCCTGGAATTCAGCTACAATAAACATCTTAGTTAATATATTGCAGTTGCTTTTCGTGTGAGCAGTTTCCAAGGGATTTCTATATATCTATGTATAACTAAGTTTCACTTGCCCTCTCCTCTCCCCTCTCTCTCTTTCTCGCTCTCTCCTCTCTCATTAACTTTTCTGCAATACATTCTGCTTGCGCTGCTTCTGCACAGAGGTGCTAAAAGCGCCCCCACTGCCCCCGCTGCCCACGCTCCATAGCTTGTTTTTTCTTTTTTTTTCTCCAATTTATGTGCCACTGAAGCAGCTGCCACATGTTGTTGCTGTTGCTGTTAGACAGTTTGTTGAGCTAGCAGCGCAAAGTTAAGCCAAAAAAAGAAAGAAAAACAAAATAAAAATATATTAAATTGCGCTCGCCCGCCGAGTTTGCCTATCAGTTTTAATAGCGCTAGAAACTTCGCAGTCAAGCTGCATGCTGCCCGCCTCCCGCTGCCTGCCACCTACTTTGAGAAGTGCTCGACTGGCTGGCCGAGTGCTCGTCTCGCACTCGTCGCCTCTAAAGTGTCTGTTCAACAACACACAAACTGACACTTCAGCCGGTCAATGAGCGAATGCGTCTGAGTGTGGGGCCTGTGGCAGGAGTCTGAAGGTGTGGGTAGTGGTCGGTCGGGTGCTGTGGCGTTGGGGCGGCTGGTCTGGTTAGCTGTGTAGTGCGCACTGCATAATTTCAATTACAATGATTGCAACGTTGACACGCTGCTTGCCGCTTGCCGCTTGCTGCTTGCTGCTTGCCGCTTGCTGCTTGCAACTTACCTGAAGTGGACTGAGCGTTTCAGGCGAGGGCTCCTCGAGGCGCGGCCAAATCTGATGCAGCGACATAATGGCCTCGTTGCAGAAACGCAGGCCCATCACCTCCTCGTCCTCGCGCCCATAGCTGCAACGAGAAAGGGCCGAGCGATTATTTATGAACTCTCTTTTAGCTGGACATACAGCGACAGCGACGGCTCCACAAGTTCGATTTCAAGCGGTTCGCACCGTCCTGGTGCTGGGGGGGGACGTGGATGGAGGATGGTTAGGTCGGTGTCGTGTGGGTCTACCTTACCGAAATGTCAGAGTTAGCTGCGCATAAACGCGATATCCTTGAATGGCCTTCGGGTCCACATAGACTATACCACGCAGCACCGATGGATTGTTGCCGCTGAGTATTATCTCGCGCGTTGGCAAATAGAGCGTGATCACGCAATTCGGCGACGTCTTCTTGTACACACGCTGCGTCCCAAAGTCATCCTTGTGTATCCTGTAAAAGTCGATGCGAAACGGAACTTAGCTATCTCCTCGACCACACGCGCATTTTCAGGTGCTGCGCAACAAAGTCTTGTTGGTAAAGTTGTGTGGCTGTAGTTTAGAGACGCACCGCATAGCAGTGCCATACATATGTATAAATACATACATACATGTATTGGTATATCGCTAGATGGGTCGTTCGTTGGCAATGGCCTCTATACTTACGGCAACTTAACTGTTCTTAGTTTTGACTTGAGTCAACTAGCCACGCCTTGTGGTTCGTAAACTGGACATAACTCATAGCTAGAGTGTTTACAGAAGCTAAGGCCTCCAATCCAACAATTGCGCTGCTTATAATAATAGTGTTATTAAGAATACTAAACATAATAATGAGTTCAGTGAGTAGCCGCATAGTTGCTTAGGTTGGGCCAGGAAGCACGAATTTTTCACAAGCAGCTCCTTGCCTCTCTCAAGAAATCCATTCATAGTAGCAGTGTTGTAAAACGACAAAATAAGAGAAGAACTTGAGCTTCCTTTGCATTGCAACGAGAAGCTCACAGCTGGCAATTCAATGCTTAATTAGCTGCGATTCAACTGTCAGACATGCGCCACAGCTACCCACGCTCAGGTGTGCATAGGTGTGCATGGATGCAGTCGGTGCATAGCTCGGTCTATAAATAGCCTGAGGCGGGCAGCTGGCGCACATTTGCATGTGTGCAACATTTTGCGGCAGCTCCATTGATTTGCGTACCCTCTGATACACAAACACGTTAATTCAAAACTCCTGCCAGTTGTTGTTGACACTGTTGCGAGTGTCAAAAGTTGTGGTAAACAATTTTCTGGCCGGCGCTGCAGCTCGGCCGGTTCCACGAAACTTTCAACAAGCCACTGACACCTGGCTAGCGGGACAATTAGGCAGCCCAGCCCAGCAGCTGGGCGGCATTTCGTTGCATTTCGCATGAAGGTCACATCAGTGTGCAGCCAACGTACCGCCAATTTAATTGACCTTCAACACGGCGAACTCGTGTCAGATTGATTTAACTTGGCCAACACTTGCAAGCGCTTTGACGAGCCCCATTGGACATTGTGCATAGTGATATATAGCATATGGAGAAAAGTTAGATAAGAGCTCGATTACATTTAAATAATATAGTCTATGGAAATAATTAAGTTATAGATAGAGACATAGTTACAGATATCATAATATATAGGATAAAAGCTATAGATTTATAGATGTGTTGATCAAAGTTTAACTGTCAATGGCTAGATGTGACTGTAAAATGTTAACACAGCTGTGTACATATGTAGATGATGTATTTTTAAGATAATATGACGTGATACTGTGCAATGTCTGTGAAAACTCTGAGGGAGTGGGTCTTTAAGGCAGTTTGTGCAGAGTCTGTAAATTGGGCTGTGCAAAGTCAGTCTATATTAAAGCCTTTTAAAAAGTCTGTACAACAGTTTGGAAAAGTTGGTGTAAAAGAGTCTGTAAAGAAGTCTGCTAAGAAGTCTGTAAAACAATCTATAAAAGAGTCTGTAAAAAGTCCGTAAAGAGTCTGTACGAATGTCTGTAAATAATCTAGCAAAGTCTATAGGCGAGTCTGTTAGAGAGTCTGGTAAAGAGTCTGTTAAATAATCTGTTCATGGGTCTGTGCAGAGTCTGTATACAAGTCTGTAAAAGAGTGTGTAAAAGATTGTGTAAAAGAGTCTGTTAAAGAGTCTGTAAAAGAGCCCGTAAAGGAGTCTGTTAAAGAGTCTGGAAATGAGTCTGTAAAAGGGTCTGTAAGAGAGTCTGTTAATGGATCTGTGCATTCTGTAAAATAATTTGTCCATAGGTCTGTGCAGAGTCTGTATAAAAAAGTCTGTGAATGTGTACAAGTGTATGTAAATAAGTCTGTTAATGAGTCTGTAAATAAGTCTGTAAAAGGGTCTGTAAGATAGTCTGTAAAAAAGCCTGTACAAGAGTCTGTTAATGGATCTGTGCAGTCTGTAAAATTGTCTGTTGATGAGTCTGCGGAGAGTCTGTAAAAGGCTCTGTTAACGACTCTGCAAAAAAGTCTGTTAAATAATCCGTAAAAGTGCCCGTAAACGGATCTGTGCAGAGTCTTTCAAATAATCTGTAAATGGGTCTGTGCAGAGTCAATAAAAGAGTCTGTATATAAGTCTGTAAAAGAGTCTGTACAAAATCTGTAAAAGAGCCTGTTGAACAGTCTGTTAAAAAGTCTGTAAATGAGTCTTTAAAAAGAGTCTGTGAAAGGTTCTGTAAAAGTCTGCTAACGATTCTGTAAAAGAGTCTGTTAAATATTCTGCAAAAAAGTTTATAACAAAGTCTGTAACAAAGTCTGTTAAAGAGTCTGTAAAGAAGGTGGTTAAATAGTCTGTTAAAGAGCCTATAAATGAGTTTATAAAAAGAGTCTGTGAAAGGGTCTGTTAAAGATTCTGTAAAATATTCAGTAACAGAGTCCGTGCAGAGTCGGTTAACCAATTCCAATTCGTGATTGCCTCCCACTGTCGCTGTAGTGTTTTGTGGGAGGCTGAAAGCTTGCACTGAGTTGTTTTGGATGTATTATCAGAGTAGGTGTGGTTATCGGCTGCCAGCTCGAAGTAGCCCAGGGTATTGCCAACTGAGACACAGTTCATAAATACTGCATGCAGAGCTGACCTTTGCCCCAGCATCAACCCAGCATGAGTGCAACAAGCTACTACACGACCGCCTCGACTCTTCACGTTACTTACACAGTTGGCCTTTTAGCGCTTGATTGCGTATTATTCATCGAATCGGGCAGAGTATTTGTACAGCTATATATATAGCTATATGTGCATACGTGCATATAAATACACACTCGATGGCAAAGTGAGCAGAGGTTTATTGAAATGGAGTCGTGCTCCTTTTGGGGGCCTGGGTGGCCTTTCATCAAGTATTTCTTTGACCGTTATTGACTTACAGCCAAACATAATATCCTACCAAAAAGGGAACTCATTCGCAGCGCATGTCAAATACACGCGGGTGGTCTGCCGTAATTTAAAGCTCCCACGTCACTCACACTGCACTCATCCGGAACCCAACTCCCGACCCCAACCCTGTGGCACAAATGAATTATATAGGAATTCGTATATATATATATATATTGAATTTGGGATCCGTCTCTTTTTTATTGTTTTTCATAGATGTCATTCGACTAAATTATTAAATATATCTCTTTGGCTCTGGCTCTGCCCCTGGCTATGTCCCTGACTGTGATGCTGTACCTGTTCTTAATAAACGCGTTTCGACACGTATTTGCATTCATATGGACCGACAGTGCATTATTGCATTTCATTATTAATTCGCATTTTACGTTGAATTTCTGAATATTCCGGCTACCCCTGTCAATCTCCCGCTCTAGATCCGATTGCAATTCGATTGAAATTTTTGTGAAGTGCTTTTCCGCAGCTGTGATATAATCGCTTTGATTTGGTCATTTGCTTGCCATTGACTATCGTTTGACATTGAGATAATTGACCTTAATTGAAGGTGATTTAAAGAACGCTTTGCGCTGATGGCGCCTCATTCGTCTAATTAACACTTCTAAGTGTTGTATCTCATTAGCCATCGGGCAGTCAATATTTGCGTTTATTAACTCACAAATCCTCCAGTCAATTGGCCCTGAGCTAAAGTTTGTGTGTGGGTGTGGGAGGGGTAACTAGTCAGTGCATACCAGACACTATCACCTGCATCGCATTCAGTCCGACAAATGCTATTGTTGTTATTATTAAATTCTATCCCATGGCTATTTCTGAACTAAGGAACAATGATTCAGCCCGGGCAGGTGCTGCCGCACAATGGCAAATGTAGCTGCATATTCGCTTCGACACTACAGCAATTGGGTTGCTTTTCAAAGTCGCCTCCCTCCCGGCTACCCCCTGGACGTAATTCTCAAATAATGAGCGGCAAGTAATTAATGACCAAATACAATACATTTTCAAATCGAATGGATACGGACAGCATTTCAACATTTGAGCTTTGGAGCAGCGTAACGTTTGAGCGATTTACGTAATTCATATTCAACATGTTGGCTTCTACGCATTGGACACCAAGGCTTTAAGAGCATGGAATGTACATATATGTATATAATATCCTGAGCCCATGGAAAATGGGTTTTGTAAAAATGTATGTAGCAGGCGAATGTATAGACGTGTATCAAATACGCAGTATGAGTTAATCATATTTTTTCGCTAGCTCATCCCATTTCCTGTTTATCGATAATAATCGATACATTTATTTCGCTTTTCAAGCGTAATCTGAATATTGTAGATATTGAGGAATAAAAAGATTTCGTAATGCACAGCCCACGCCCCCTTTGTCACTAATATGTAAAAAAAAAAACTTATCTCAAGTATTAGAGGTTTGTGCTTTGAATAATGCACTCATTTCAGTGCTATTACTTCATTCTGAAGATGGTCCCACTACAAGAAGATTTGCTTAATAAATGCGTTCCCATGGCAAAGCCCGCATCGCGTCCCCAGCGCAGTCGCTGCTTTGGGCGCTAATGCCTCGAATAGATATCGCATGGCGAACCGTCTGGCACAGCTAGCTGTGATATATGATAAGTGAATATATATATATATATATGTATATATGTGTATTTGCATATAGACGCAACGCAAATGCAAAGTGCAGGAGCTCAAAATGCAGCTGCTGCAGCTCAATTCGATCCGTTTGATATCTGCAGATGGCAGCCAGAGACAATAGCATGCTGTCCCGCTCCCCTCCCTCTCGCCAGACAGCCGCTTCTCGGCTCACATGGCCAAGCCCTCTGCGTCGAAGCTCGAAGGAGTTGTGTGCTGATAATGGAAACAAGTGCAGCAGCTACTCAAATGCCAGGTCTGCGTCATGCAGACACAAGGAGCTTCAGCTGTAAGCGCTCTATATCTTATTATGCATTATAGCAGACACTATAACCGTACATTTCTTAAGCACCCACTGTGCTGCACTTTCATTGAGAGTCTGTTCAACATCAATTTGCTTGCAAC